AAAAACTGCAAAATATAGTTTAAAATCACAGTTTTTGGTTGAATAATACTTGAATTGGAGATTCCACGTAAAATGCGAAGTCGTTTTACTTATGTTAGGCAATGTTAGGCATATAAAACTGACTTAGCCGCTGACAACTAAAGCGGGAGCAAAATGTCCCATATTTCTGGCAATTGAGTATTGTTTATAGTTGCGGGCAAATAATTTCCTTGTTGCATATTTAGTACAGTTCATTTTCCTTATTAACCCGATTAGATCATGGTCACTAAGACCACTGTTACAAACAAAAGATTGGAGAATGTTTCTGACATGTGTTGATAATACAATATCAATTAATGAGCTTGTTGTCATCGTAGTCCTAAAGTCGGTTGTGTTATCATTTGTTTAAGACCGTTTATCTTCATAATATCTTTCAGGCAACTATTGTCCGTTGGTTTAGAGTAATCACAATTTAAGTCACCTAAGAGAATAATCTCTTTGTTCTCTTGTAAGGCGGTCATTACCATTTCGTTAACTACCTCATTAAAATTCTTATTTAGATGCTCTGATGAGTTTGGAGGTCGATATGTAAAACAGACAAGGATTGACGTTGAGTATTTTACAAATAGTTCAAGTCAAACTGCTTCTATCGACTGATTTTCAAGATCTGTTCGTCGTTGAAAATTAATGTCATCACGAACGAATGCTATCACCCCGCCTCCTGCTCAAGGACGGCGAGGGGGGGGGGGCAGAGGGGGCAAAATACACGAGGCCCGGAGTGCTCAGAGAGGCCCAGAAACCGTCGTGATCGATCGTAAAACGTACCAAATGTGAAACAAAGAATTTTTCGATCGTTTTCGCAGAAAAAACAGTTAGCTGAACATCGTTCACATTGCGTTTTTATCAGTTATGTGGCGATTTCGTGCAGGTAATTCGCTGGTAATTCTCTCGTTGATTGCAATCAAAAATAGACTTTGGCGTGCCCATGAGCCAGCGAGAGTGTCGAGAGGGACAGGGGCCCCGTGTTCACCAATCGTCATTTTGTCCCGGGGCCATTGGTTGGCTCTCGCCGGCCTTGCTCCTGCTCCTGAAGTGCGATCATGCCGTATACCTACATATCCATTAATTCGAACTTCGGCATCCAGAATCGTTGAATTTAACTTACTCTCTGTTACACCCAAAACATGAATATTGTTATTGAGACTGTCAAACATTTACCGTGTCATATCAATCTTCGAGAGAAGGCCATTCACATTTTGGTGCAGTATTTTAAGACCAGTTTTAGCAATATACGATCGTAAGTTATCATAGCAGTCATTTTGCCGATTATCGTGTCTGGTCTCTTCAATCGGTTCAGTCGGTCGAATGTAGCATGTATTACAGAACATAGTGTCGTTGACATTCTCTTTTAACCATTTTATATGGAAGCATTGCTTACAGTTTTGACAAGTTCCCTTTAGTTGACTTCGCCTGACTTGTTTTAAGAGACTGCTATACATGTCAAGGCTGGGCCAGGATTCAATTCAATATTTCAACATCACCAGCTAAGATCATAAGTAGCTTGAAAGTACCGTTCGGCTTCATGTGCAACGCATGACATTGCTTGTAGATCCATAAACAGTGGCGTATTCAGAACGATAATTGGGGGGGGGGGGGCCTTATTCATATATTCGTGTTCTGCTTAATTAATTTCTTTTGAAATCAATTGTTTTTATGGTATGTGAACACGAATATATGAATATGCCCCCCACCCTCAATTATCGTTCTGGCTACGCCACTGTCCATAAAGAGCCATGTATGTGCGATTCGACTTCATATGTTGTCTTAATTTCTGGGTATAAGGAATAACAAACTGATTGGCTCATAAATGACTTCTTTTTCAGGCCGAATGTGCAATATGGAGGGATAAAAATCTTTATAAAAGCTAGAACTAAATTGAGCGATCGCAGCGCCATTACATAACCGTGATGTAACTCAACTTCTGGGTTAGGGTAGGTTAAATTTTATAACATTTAGGTATGCTATTAAAAACTAGTTTTAACTTTTGTGTATATATACTACAAGAAACTTACTCTTTGGTGGAGGCATCTGACATTTGCAATTTTCGATAATATATTCCTCTTTACAGTCACTCAAACAAAGTGTCTTTGAATACTTTACATTTGGGTCACTTCCCCTGCAAGGTCGTCCATAAGGTGGAGGTGAGGTTACAAACTGTGATTGAACGAAAGCAACACTAATTAGTAGCTGTTTTTGTATAATAGGATCTGAATGACGTTTTCTGATACTCCGTAAAGTCCATCAACAGGTTGCTAGTTAGAACATTTCTCCGAAAACTGAGAACTCAGGGCAGTTTAAACATGAATTGATATTTTCGTGGAAGCAAACCCGCATGGATATCTCATTTTAAATTTGGTCGAGTAGGTCGACCATTTTAACCACTTTTTTCATTTGTGAATAAAAATTACAAAAAAGGGAAGGCTATATAACTCCTTAAATTTTCGTCCATTTTAGCCCCTTTTCCACTTCAGAAAAATGTGTAATATATTGAAAATAGTAAAGGCCTTATTATATCATTTTTGCATTTGTGAAAAGGGCGCAAAAAATAGAAAAAAGTAAAAGCTAACCCCCTAGATATTCGCCCATTTTTGCCACTTTTTTAACCTCCAGAAAAAAGGTGAAAATGAAAAAAAAACCCAAAGGCAAACACCTTAAACTTCGTTTATTTTAGTGTTTAGCTACTCTTTTATTTTGTGTAAATGGCGCTAAAAAGAAAAAATGTGAAGGCTAACACCCTTAATATTTCTCCGTTTTTAGGCATTTTTTGACCCCAGAAAAAGCTAAAAAGAGAAGGAAACGTAAAGGTTGACACCTTAAATGTTCGTCCATTTTTGTCCACTTTATTTCATTTGTGAAAAATAGACGGTACATATGGATGGTACATATTAAGCTAATGAGCTGATAAAGAGGCTGTGTGGCAAGGCGGCAAAATGTCTTGTGCCCTCGGAAAACGTGGGACAAAATAAAATAGATATCACTGTCAAGTATTCTTCCGGAATGCAGGAATTTCCTATATATCCTAAAGAAAATGAAGAAGTGCAGGTCGAATTTTTGGAAAACCAAATCTCAAAACTTTCCCGTGGGAAATTCGCTCAAAAAACCTATTAGAATTTTCAGTCTATAAAGTGACTTTTTACATTGTCATTTTGTCAAATTGTGATACCGTAGCATAGCATAAATTCAACAAACCTGTTTTTTCATGACAGAGACTAAAGCTTTCCTTCCAGGCATGACTGCGAAACCACCTTCCTTAATATATATCGGATCATTCTGATCATGAATTAGTACTTTTATGCCAACACTTTCCGTACGTGACTGATATTCATACGTTTGGACATTGAGTGTCAGGAGCAAACCATTTGTCTCCCCAGGATTAGTAAGATATTGCAATCGATAGTTTTCATAACCTATTACAGAATTTTAAAAGATTTCGTTATAAGGCTTGTTTTTACCATTCACCTTGCAATGAAGCTGGATCCGGTACTTATTGTGGTAAACATGCATGGAAACATGTGACACTAATTTAGCCCTGGTAAAAGAAGAATGATATTTAGTTTGATGAGAATGGGCAAGCGACAGGATTTAGCTATACGTGTATTACATATTGTAACTGGAGGGCACTCAGAGACTGCATACCTCCGCCCGCTACTCGGAAGTGAAACTAAACGTCGGAATTTTCTAAGAAACCATTTTGCAATTCTTAAGCATAAAAGATTTTAGGCCCCTGTGAATTGAAATCGAATTGCTAATAGAGTATATTACTGTTGTTGTACTGTACTTGTAAAATAAAAACTTATTAACTGTCATTAAATGAATGCATAAATTTTTCTTTATGCACTCGCGTGTGCAATAATTTTGACAGTTGTGCTATTTTAAATTCCCAGGCACCACAAATCTTTCGTCCTTAAAACAATGTCGATTTCTTGGGAAATTCCGAGGTTGCGTTTTTTTTATACACCCTGTATTGAAATAATCTATTGTTATTAGAATTTGAATTGGCTAGCACTTTGCTGGACGCAATGATGCGTAACTCCGTAAACCATGTTTTAGACATTGAATTTCGGTCGCGTGAAATGCACCTAAGACAATAGATAATGAAGGCTGAAGCTTAATGAGGTTTATCATCTCATTATTATCTGTTGATTATTGTCTTAGTCGCATTCGCGTATAAAACGTACCTAAAATATTGTCTGCGTGTACAGTATATAAAATTATTAAGAAATTAGAATACATTTGTAAAGCACACGATTTTAGAGCAGCCTCCCTTGTATAAGTGAGAGTTGCAATTGTATACAATCTAAAAAGATACTATTCAAATTGGCCAAACACGCCGCGGAAGCTGATTAACTAATGAATTTGAGTAATTAACGTTGTTTTATG